AGAAAGTGAGAAATCACCCCCCAAGGGGTGATGGCCATGCCACAATCCCTTCTTTGTTCACCTCCTGGGATTTTAGGCACACATGCATATATGCCCGATGTGAGTTTGAAACCACCAGTTTCTGGGCTCAAAACTGCAGTTGGCTGTGTTGGGGTCCAGTGACGTAACTGCTATGCCAATTGCTAGCCCCAGACCCTGGCTAATTTAAATGTAAAACGTTGTTATACAAGTCATCTTTATTTTTGTTTTACTTTGTATTTTGATTAGGAATTGTCAGAAGTAATGTTTTTAGTGTCTGACCTAAAATTAGGAAATCGAGTTATATTGGCTTTGAAAATCTCAACAGTTGTGCATAGTCATTTTCAAATATTTACTTTAAATTTAATAACTTTTTAACCAGAAATGTAAAAAGGCTATAGAAATATAGATGAGCTCTTTCGCACTATATAAGATGGCAGGTGAAAAAGCTGTGAAGCAGGATGCTAAGGAGAAGAAACCTGAGGCCAAGAACGCTGATGCCAAGGTCAAAAAGTCCAAGAAAAGGAAGCTGCATTGCAGCCCGAAACCTGCCCTAAACCTGGTCCTAGTCCAAGGCATCGGCACATACTCCCGATCTGCCATGTGTTCCAGGAAGGCTGTGTACAAGAGGAGATACTCAACTACTAAATCCAGGATTGAAAGAAAAAGGAGAAAGTTCTTGTCACTGCCACAAAACCAGTTGGTGGGGATGAGAATGGTGGTACCTGGGTGGTTAAACTGTGCAGAATGCCTAGGTATTATCCTACTGAAGATGTGGCTCAAAAGCTGTTGAACCATGGCAAAAAAAAAAACAAACCTTCAGTCAGCATGTGAGAAAACTGCTAACTAGTGTCACTCCTGGGACCATTCTGATCATCCTCAATGGATAACAAAGAGGCAAGAGAGTGGTTTCCTGAAGCAGCTGAGCAGTGGCTTGCTACTTGTGACTGGACCTCTGGTCCTCAATTGAGTTGCATTGCATAGAATGCACCAGAAATTTGTCATTGCCACCTCCGTGAAAATTGATATAGCAAAGTAAAAATCACAAAACACCTTGCAGATGCTTACTTCAAGAAAAAGAGCCTGCAGAAGCTCAGACACCAGGAAGGTGAGATTTTCAACACAGAGAGGAGAAATAAGAGATTACAGAGCAGCGCAAGGTTGATCAGAAAGCTGTGGCTTTGCAAATTTTACCAAAAAAGAAAGCTGTTCCTCAGCTCCAGAGTTACCTGTGATCCGTATTTGCCCATCCAAATGGAGTTTATCCTCACAAATTGGTGTTCTACATTTCTTGCCACGAACCTAATTAAACAACTGGTCATAAATATAAAAAGAAAGAAAGAAATATAGATGAATAATGTTAGGTCATTGGGAAAGTCATGACTTATTTTTCTGTTTTTCTATGTCAAAATGCGTCACGACTTTCCTGACACTCCAGTATAATAATGCTTTGTTTGATCTATTTTACCCTTATTCAGAATTTATTCAGAATTTGGGACCAGCAGTTAGCGTAATGGCTATGTTGCTGGACATCCACGTAGTCGACCATAATTCGAGTCCCAGACCCGGCGACTTAAACTCATGCTGGGTGCACGTGCGTGCATGCCCAAGATCCCGAGAGAATGGAGGAGAAGGGATTGCAGCGTAGCCATCCCCCCAGGGAGTGATTTCTCGCTTTCTGTCTCTCTGTCTGTCTGGCAAGTGCATGCGCCCTATAGCAAAAAACCTCTCCAAAAAAAAAAAAAAAAAAAGATGATAGGGGCTTGCTGTGTCATGACTGTCTTCCCTTAGCCCCACAACCCCAACTGGGATAACAGGCATTGTACTACTTTTTTTTTTTTCTTTTTAAGACAGAAATCTCACCATATTTCCTGCAAGGCCAACTTTGAGCTCCCTGTCCTCCTGCCTCAATGTTCCTGAGTAGCTGGGAAGGCTTGTTTGCATTTTGTTGAGTTTTGCCTTTAGTGGACATACTAAAGAGTTTAGGGTTTATGTTGTCTTTTCTCTCTTTTTAAAAAAAAATGATTATTTTAATTTCTTTTATATATTCAGTCACTATACATCACTACAGCTTGTATAGCGAATTTACCCAACATAAGTACACTTTATACCAGTCTAATTGAAGATACTACTATGCACATTATCATCAGCAGATAACATCCATTTCTGTGTCTGTGTTCATTGTCTCTTTTTTTGGTGGGGGAGAGGTTTTTGCTATAGGGCGCATTTGCTTGCCAGACAGACAGAGACAGACAGACAGACAGAAAGTGAGAAATCACCCCCTGGGGGGATGACCACGTCGCAATCCCTTCTCCTCCATTCTACTCTCAGGATCTTGGGCATGCACGCACATGCGCCTGGCGTGAATTTTAAGCCGCCGGGTCTGGGACTCAAACTGCTGTTGACCACATGGGAGTCTAGCGACATAGCCATTACACTAACTGCTGGTCCCTGTGTTCATTGTCTTGATCTTTGCATTGCTTACTGGAATAAAGGCAGTATATAAGAAAAAGTTATTTTTGCTAGAATCTTTGAACTGTATTGTGTTAACTAATGAACTAGCATTAATTAAACTATTTTCCCCTCTAGAAACAGCATTTAAATTTAAAGCCCTGAAGAAGGTTGCACAGTTAGCGGTTATAAATAGCCTGGAAAAGGTAAGGTACAACCTCTTTAGTATCAAACTTTTGTTTTTCATTGTAGATTTTGCTGTCTTTTGGTATTTTGAACTGAGTATATTGATCACTAGAGTGATCAATTTCACATTAATTTTAGGAGGAATACACTGCAATATTCTTAGGAAAATTGGAAGTTTGTGATGTTTTATTTACTGTATTAAGAAAAGATCACTGTTGTCATATAAAGGCATGTGTTTTGTTATTTGTAGGCATTTTGGAACTGGGTAGAAAATTATCCAGATGAATTTACAAAGCTGTACCAGATTCCACAGACTGATATGGCTGGTAAGAATAAAATTGATTTTTTTTTTTTTTTGGTCTTTTAAACTCTTGCTTATGAGGTTAAAAATCTATCACTTTCTCCAAGTTATTTTTGTTATAAAGGTACTTTTTACATGCTTTATTTTTATTTATTTAAAATTTATTTATTTTACATTTATTCACCGAGCATCATCACAGCATACAAAATGTGATTTCCCATCTAGAATACACTGTGTAGTGGCTTATCATATATGTTATTGTCAACAAGTAATTTTCCATTTCTTGTTTTGTGTGTGTGTGTATCTGTCCCCCTAATTTTCACCCTCTGCCATTTCCTACCCTTCTCCAACATTATCTCTGGTATCTACAGTTGCTTTCCATTCCTCCCCCCAACACACACATTTTATTGATTGACAAAATATCTAATTAATCTAACTACTTTCAGTTGCAAGCTCAACTGATAGATACACATCTGTGAACACATGTCTGACTTTAGACATGAAACTGCGCAGAATGAATATACAATAAAGTAACACCTAGCTGATGCTGTATAGCTTACCGTGGTCATTAAATAGGTATTTTTAAATTTATTTTTTAATGTCAAGAAAAGCAGTCTTAGCTTTAATAACTCAAAATCAAAAAATGCTAAGATAGCTCAGTGATGTCAAATACAACATGTAGGTACTATTTTTCTCTCACAGTTTTAAGAAACCCCCCCCCTCCAACTCTTTGCTTTCCTTTCAGCAGTTTGAAATGACTCTCTAAGCTTTAAAGTTTGGATTGAATGTTTGATGACTGTCACAGAGGAGCGCTGCTTTTGCTCTTGGATGTTTTATTCACTTACTTATTTTAGGGACATGTCTGTAAGGTAGTAGTTTTCTTAATCTATGATGTATGAATTCTCAGGACACAACTGCATGGGGGATAATACAGACTCCTGGAGAACTTTGGTAATTCTCTCCAGGAAGCTTCCACTCTTTGTTCAAGGGTATATGGCACTTTGCAAAAAGTCCTGCACATTGAGGCTAAATACAAGATGGGCCATTCTAAAATGTGAACTTCTCTCGAATGAATTAAGATAGCTCTTTTTTTTTTTTTTTTTTTTTTTTGCCATAGGGCGCATGCACTCGCCAGAAAGACAGAGAGAGAGAGAGAGACAGACAGAAACTGAGAAATCACCCCCCAGGGGGGATGGCCACGCCGCAGTCCTTTCTCCTCCATTCTTCTCTTGGGATCTTGGGCACCCATGCACACACACCCAGCGTGAATTTAAGCTTCTGGGTCCAGGGCTCGAACTGCAGTCTTACTACATGGGAGTTCAGTGACATAGCCGTTATGTTAACTGCTGGTCCCAAGATAGCTCTTCTAACACAAAGACTGTATGTTGGGTCATCAGGAAAGTCATGATGCATTTTTTGCATAGAAAAATAATGTCATGACTTTTCTGGCAACACAATAACTTTGTCTAATTAATAAATAAGTTATTTATTGTCGTTTAAGTGAACTGGTACGTTTATCTTTTTAAAATGTGGCCTTCAGGATTTTGGGTAGTGCCAGCTTTTAATTAATGCCAGAGATTTTCTTCTCATTTAAATATGTCATTTACTATTTATATTTTTCACATAGAGTGTGCCGAAAAGCTATTTGACTTGGTGGATGGTTTTGCTGAAAGCACCAAACGTAAAGCAGCAGTTTGGCCACTGCAAATCATTCTCCTTATCTTGTGTCCAGAAATAATACAGGATATATCCAAGGATGTGGTTGATGAAAACAACATGAATAAGGTGAGGAGGGCAAAATTGTTTCCATCATGTTCAGATATGAAGTTGTTTTCTTACTCAAGGCATTGATTACTTCAGGCTTATCATTCTTTTTTTTTTAACTTAAAACTTTTTAAAATTTATTATTATTATTTTAATTTGCTATAGGGTATGCGTGTTCATGAGAGAGAGAAAGAGAGAAAGAAAGGAAGCCACCAGGTCTGGGACTTGAACTGTGGTCGGCCGTGTGGGAGTCCAGTACCCTAACCACCACGCCACGTGCTGGCCCCAGTGCTTTTTCTTTAAGCAAACTATTGGGTCATTGGGGAAGTCATGAGCATTTTTGCATAGGAAAACATAGAAAAATATGTCATGACTTTACCAACAACATAATATTTTAGGGAACCATTTTAATTTAAATAATTTTAGATCACTTTGCTGACAGATACATATTTATACATAGTTTTATTTGGAGGAGAGAGAAATAATACCACTCAATGATCAAAGATTTAAAACAACCCCTTAGTTTTATTCTTTTACCAGACAAGATTAAGTGATACTTTTATTACTGTTAAACAGAGTTTCTTTTTTTTTTTTTGGAGAGGTTTTTGCTATAGGAAATGTGTGCTTGCCAGAAAGAAAGATAGTAAGCGAGAAATCACCCCCCCCAGGGGGGATGGCCACGCTGCAGTCCCTTCTCCTCCATTCTCCTCTCGGGATCTTTTGCACGCACACACGCCCAGCGTGAATTTTAAGCCACTGGATCTGGGTCTCGAACCGCAGTCGGCTACATGGGAGTCCAGCAGCATAGCCATTATGCCAACTGCTCGTCCCAAACATAGTTTCTATAATATTCACTGCAAGGGTTGCCCTTCAGCATTTCAAGTCTGTTGTACTTAAGTGTGTGTCCACTTTGTGTTATTGAAATGATCTAGTAACTATTTTAGGTATTTTGGAACAGTTTTTACAGAATTTTATTAAGATGCAGGATACCATCTATAACATCTGTAGTGAAATTGGCACTCTTAACTTACTAAACATGAAATGGGTTTTTGCATGACTTTCCTGTGGAAATGTTTAAACTTGGCCAAATGATTCCCTACTTTGTAGAAATACTAGATAGGGATTTTATGCCCTGAAAGGTAAATAAATGAATGAGACAGTCCGGGAAAGTCTATGTTCTGTGGTCTTCCACTGAGGATACTGTACTTTCCATCTGAGAACTCACTCATTTATCATACTAGATTTGTTTTAGGGCCCTTCATGTAGAATTTTGTTTGCTTGTTTCTGACCATTGGGAAAATAGAAATAGATACAATGACTATAAATTTAGTAGTACTCTTAAGTTAGTATGTATGTATGTGTATATATACATACATGTAAAAATAATTTTTTTTGGAGAGGTTTTTGCTATAGGGTGTGTGCACTCACCAGAAAGACAGAGACAGAGAGACAGAAAGTGAGAAATCACCCCCTAGGGGAGATGGCCACACCACAATCCCTTCTCCATTCTCCTCTTGGGATCATGGGCACGCATGCACATGCGCCCAGTGTGAGTTTAAGCCACCAGTCTGGGACTCAAACCACGGTCGACTACATGGGAGTCGAGCGACATAGCCATTACGCCAACTGCTAGTCCCAGTGAATTTATATTTTACTGGTCATAGCTGTATCTTTGTAGATGTCTATTGATCATTTGTGTATCTTCAGTGAGTTACTTATTTTTCCATTGAATTGTTTGTCTTTTATTGATTTGTAGGATATGTTGTATACACTTACTACTTGATTTCTCTCCGTAAACTTTGTTCATGGGTTCTTTTTTCTATTTAGATACTTAAAGTTGCATGTATTACTCAGTCTGGTTTTTGTTTCTCTTCTAGCTTTTTTGGTCAGACCTCTCTTCCTTACAAGATTTTACTTACTCTTTTTATTTTATTTTAGTTTTAAAGATCACCCCCCCACACACACCCCTAGCAATATTCTTAAGGGATGTTGATTTGTAATTTTCTTACAGTGATTTTAGTTTTCGTGTAGTGTCTTTGTCTCACTTCAGTATCAGGGTAATAGCCTCAGAATGAGTTAGAAACTGTTACTTCTTGATTTTTTGGATGTGTTTGAGGGAAAGTGATGGTAATTCTTTAAATTTCACCAGTGAAACCATCTGGTCCTATTTTCTGTGTTGGAAGGTTTTTTTCATTACTGATTTAATCTCCTTACTAGTTGTAGCTCAATTCAGATGTCTTATCTCTCATGAATTAGTCTGATAGAGTGTTCTAGGAATTTGTCAATTTAATCCAAATTACCAAATTTGTTGGTATATAGTTTCTCATAGTATTGTCTTAGAACCCTTTTCATTTTGTAGAATCAGGAGTTTTATCTCCACTTTCACTTCTGAATTTAGTAATTTGAGTCTTCTCTTTTTTTTTCCCTTAAATCTAGCTAACATTTTGTCAATTTTGTTGACCTTTTCAAAGAAACAGTTTTTGATTTTGTTGATTTTCTCTTTTGCTTTCCTATTCTCTTTTTAAAATTTATCTCTATTCTGGGGAGACTGGCAGATGGTGTGGTGGTTAAAGGCGCTGGACTCCCACATAACTGACCATGGTTTAAATCCTACACCTGGTGGCTTGTTTTCTCACTCTTTCTCTCTGTCCCTCTCTGATCAAATTAAAATAAATAAATACATTAAAGTTCAATAAAATCTTTTAAAAATTCATCTCTAGTCTAATCTTTATTATTTTTTCCCTTTTGCTACCTTTGTGTTTACTTTCCACTGTTTCTAGTTCCTTAAGGTTATTGATTTAGTATTTTTTTAATATATGTGTTTACAACTCTAAATTTCCCACATAGCACTATTTTTGCTTTTTATAAGTTTTGGTATGTGTTTCATTTTTCTCAAGATATTGGGTCATTGGGGAGAAAAAAAGATACTGGGTCATCAGAAAAGTCCTGATGTCTTTTTCTGTTTCTCTATGCAAAAATGCATCTGGACTTGAACTACGACCCAATATTTTCTGATTTCCTGTTTTTGTTGTTGTTGTTTTGATCTATTGGCTACTCAAGATTGTATTGGTTACTTTTCACATATTGTTACTTTTTCTAGTTTTGCGCCTACTGTTAGTTTCTAGTTTCTTTCGGTTATGATTAGAAAAGATACTTTGTTTGATTTCAGTCTCTTTACAGATATTAAGACTTATGATTAGAAAAGATACTTTGTCTGATTTCAGTCTCTTTACATATATTAAGACTTGGGTTGTGGCTTAACATATGGTTTTTTTGGGAAAGTATTCCATGTTCAGCTGAGAAGATTGTATGTTTTTCAGGTGTTGAGCTAGTTTAGTTTTTAACATGTTACATTTGAGAACACATGTATGTGGAGATGTATTTATTTATTTTATTTATTTGGGAGAAAAGCCAATGGAGGAATTTGTTAGTGAAATATAAAGATCGTGAGAATGAGTAACTTTTTTTGAGGAACAGAATTTAAAGCAACAAATCAGCCTTGTGTATATTCTTTTTTATTAAGAATTATTTAATTTTATTAAGTAATTATTATTGTTTTTAATCTGGCCAGAGAGAGAGACAGGGAATGTGAGAAAGCAAGTTGTCAGCTCTGGGATTCAAACCATGGTTGGCCTTGTTGGAGTCCAGCGCCTTAACAACCATGCCACCTGCCAGCCCTGCATATTTTCTTATTTAGAAAGCCAAGGCTGAATTATAGCTTGGAATATTAGAAAAGGATGGAACAATTTGACATAGAGCTTAACCAAGACGGTGTAATAGGCATTAAAGATAATATCGAGAAGAGGATATGATCAGCTGCACTCTGTTGAGAAGTCAACTACTTTGTTTGAAAAGGAGTGTTTTGTTTTTTATTCCTTTAATAATTCAACAAAAAAAGTGGAGAGCAGTTTCCATTTTTTAAAATTTGAGATACATTTAAATGATGACAACTAAATTATGAAACTAAAAACCACCAGTATAATTTGTACATTGTTTATAGAATGAATTTTAGAGGCCATTCATTTGCTACGTATTAGCTAAATCTGAAGTAGAAAAAAATTTCATGTGTCATATTATTTCTGTATTTGAATTCTGTAGAAGCTGTTTCTGGACAGTCTGAGAAAAGCACTTGCTGGCCATGGAGGAAGCAGGCAGCTGACAGAAAGTGCTGCAATTGCGTGTGTCAAACTGTGTAAAGCCAGTACTTACATCAACTGGGAAGATAACTCCGTCATCTTCCTACTTGTCCAGTCCATGGTGGTCGATCTTAAGGTAACACGCTTATTTTTCTCTGCTACAAACTTTTAGGAAAACTAAATAAAAATAATCTTCTTATTCAAGTATTATGTCAAAGCTCATTGCTAACACTAAAGTTCTGAATCTCTTTTTGGCAATTCATAGAGCCTATATTTGTTACTGCATTCATCAGCCTAAATACGAATATGAAGAAAACACAAAATTAACCAGTTTTCTTTAATTAGCATCAATATGCAGATAAGTTTAAAATAATGTAGGAATGTAGGTCTGAAAGGAACTGTGGGTACAGAAGGGGTTGTGTCAGATTGATGAACCGCAGTATTAGTGTTCTGTACTGTTTCTGGCAGCTGAATGTTAGTGTACCTGTGTGGGAACATGTTGATGTTATTACGTAATACTGGTACCACATGACTAAAGGCTTCTGTTTTCTATTGGGATTTTTGTAGAACTTGCTTTTTAATCCAAGTAAACCATTCTCAAGAGGCAGTCAGCCTGCAGATGTGGATCTAATGATTGACTGCCTTGTTTCCTGCTTTCGGATAAGCCCTCACAACAACCAACACTTCAAGGTGAGGGCACTGGTTTTAGTGTTACTGATGCTGCTATCCTTTGTAAATGTGAAAGGGCTAGTAGAAGGATGAATGGGGTACACCATTACCAGTACTTTCTCTCTCTCTGTTTTATTTTCATTTTTTTAGATTTTTGCCATAGGGCACATGCACTCACTGGCGAGAGAAAGAGAAGAAAAGTGAGAAGTCATACCCCAAGTGGGGTTGCCACACTGCAGTCCCTTCTTCATTCTCCTCTTGGGATTTTTGGCACACACACCCACACACCCACACACACTTGCACTCACATGCCTGGCATGTTTTATAAGCTGCCAGGTCTGGGTCTCAAACCATGGAGCTGGTTGTATGGGAATCCAGCATCATGCCACCTGCTGGCCCCATTATCAGTATTTTTAAATGTTATATATTGATGTTAATTTCAAGGCCTTAAAATACTTATCCTGTCTTTAAGAAAACTTTGTGGTGTGGTCACACCAGAATCCTTTCTTTGTTTTTCCATCGTGTTTGGATTTTTGAACGTTCATACACACATACCTAGCATGTTCTTTTTCCAAGCTGCTGGGGCCAGGATTCAGACCTCTCTATTGGCCACATGGGAACTGGCTCCCTTAACCAGTGGGACCAGTAGGTTACAGGGCTGGCTCTAAAACTTTTTTTTTTTCTCTTCAGTTTCTTTGGGTTTTCATTAGTATTCCTAAGTACTTTCCCCCATAAAAATTCTCTGTTTTGTCTTTCTTGTGTAGATCTGTCTGGCTCAGAATTCACCTTCCACATTTCACTATGTGCTGGTAAATTCACTCCATCGAATCATCACCAATGTAAGTCTAAAAGGTATTGCTAAATTGATTAAACAATTATTTTTCTTTATTTTGTGTATTAGTTTTTTTCTTCTTAAGAGAGATGCTCTTAGGTTTCAGAAAGGTTCTGGACTTAGCTGTATGGTATAGAAGGATTTTTCCAAGGTGGTTGTATCTAGTAATTGATACACATGGCATTTCACATCCAATATTGGTCTCAGAGCCATTATTGAGGAAGATACAGTTAAAAATCCTTTGGAAAGATTAAAGCCAAAACATTTCATTTAGACCCAAAGCCCTTCAGAACAGTGCTACCAGTGACATCATGTAACATTTTCACCTAAAAAGCTCTTCACATTTTATCTGAGTATTTTTAGTCCTTTCTCATCATTTGCTACATTCTGTTACTTTACCAATTAAGTTATAAGTAGTGATATGTATATTGTAGTCACTTGGCACATTTACAAAGAGATGAGACTATTTGTATATTTTAGTCTTTTTTAAACAATGAATTTTTTTTTTCTCTTTTTTTTTTTTTTTTGAGAGGTTTTCGCTATAGGG